CCATACCTTATACCTTCTATTACTAAAAACATCTTAGTTAGAAATCTTAACTCTTAAGCCCTGGCCAGTTTGGCTCAGCGGTTAGAGCCTTGGCCTGCGGTCTGGAGAGACCCGGGTTCAGTTCCCGCTAAGGGCACGTACCTTGGTTGCAGTTTGTCCCCGGCCCTGATTGGGTTGTGTGGGTGGCAGCCACTCGATGTGTCCCGTTCACGTTGATGTTTCTCTCTCTCCCCCTCCCATTCTATCTGAACAAAATATCAAAAAATGTCCTCGAGTGAGGATAAAAAACAAAACAAAACTTAACTCTTAGGAACCTCAATTTCTAGTGACAACCAGAAGGTAAGCAATTAGTATTCTTTAGATTAATACCTTTATGAACACATTGAATAATTTGGTTTTTTGTGTTGTTGTTTTTTTATCCTCACCCAAGGACATTTTTTTTTATTTTTTGTTCAGATAGAGTGGAAGGAAAGGAGAGAGAGAGAACCATCGACGTGAAAGGGACACATCGAGTGGCTGCCACCTGCACGACCCAATCAGGGCCGGGGACAAACTGTACCCGAGGTACATGCCCTTAGCGGGAACCGAACCCTGGTCTCTCTGAACCACAGGCCGACGCTCTAACTGCTGAGCCACACCGGCCAGGGCTTGAATAATTTCTAAAAATATATTTCCTTATAGCACAATCAAAAAAATTTTTTTTTCTTTATTGATTTTAGAGAGAGAGGAAGGGAGAGGGAGAGAGATAGAAACATCCATGAGAAAGAACATCGATTGGCCGCCTCCTGCATGCCCCTCACTGGGGATCGGGCCCACAACCTGGGCATGTGCCCTGACTGGGAATCAAACCAGTGACCTCTTGGTGCATGGGTCGATGCTCAACCACTGAGCCACATCAGCTGGGCAGTCTGCAAAGCTTTCAAGTTTCAAGTTACCAAAGAGATTTATAAAACTATTTGCACTATAATTATTGCTAAAAAGTTAACCTGATCCCTGGCCAGTTTGTCTCAGTGGTTAGAGCGTCGGCCTGTAGACCAGAGAATCCTGGGTTCTGTTTCCACTAAGGGCATGTACCTTGGTTGCAGTTTGTCCCTGGCCCTGGTTGGGGTCGTGTGGGTGACAGCCAGTTGATGTGTCTCTCTCACATTGATGTTTCTCTCTCTCTCTCTCCCTCCCTCTCTCCCTCCAGCTCTATCTGAAGATAAAAGCAAAAAAAAAAAAAATGTCCTCAGATAAGGATGAAAAAAAAAGTTAACCTGAAAGAAACTTTTTATCCCACTTACATTTACTTAATTTACTTGCTCCTAACAATTAAGTTTAGATTACTTACGAAAATTTTATCATACTGAGTTATTTTTCTTGGTAACTAATTTTGTAACCGAGATAATATGAACTTACTTAACTGATAAACCCCAGGTAGAATAAAAGTATTATTTAATGCTGATGATTTTAAAGATATGCCTGTTTAACCAAACCAAACCCAAACCCCAGCCCAAATCATGTTAATTCCGAAAAGTATTTGAGTTAACTTGTTTACTAATTTAAGATTTTGCTCAGGTGACTAAAAGTTTGTATGCTATAATAATTTCTTTAAAATCACTTTAAAATTACAATCAGCCCTGGCCAGTTTGGCTCAGTGGTTAGAGCGTCGGCCCTCAGACCAGTGAGTTGCTGGTTCAATTCCTGTCAAGGGCACATACCTCAGTTGCGATTCATCCCTGGCCCTGGTTGGGATCGTGTGGGAGGCAGCCACTCGGTGTGTCCCTTTTTTTCTTTCTTTTTTATTCTTTATTGATTTTTTAGAGATAGAGAAATGAAGAGGAACAGAGAGAGAAACATCGATGAGAGGGAGAACATCGATTCGTTGCCTCCAGCATGCCCCCCAAGTGGGGATTTGGCCCACAACCTGGGCATGTGCCCTGACTGGGAATAGAACCAGCGACCTCTTGGTGCATGGGTTGACGCTGAGCCACACCAGCCGGGGTCCATGTGTCCCTTTCACATTGATCTCTTTCTCTCACTTTCTCCCTCCCACTCTATCTGAACAAAAAATGGAAAAATGTTCTCAGGTGAGGATTAAAAAATAAATAAATAAAATAAAAATAAAAAAATAATAAATAAATAAATAAATAAAATTATAACAAATCATAGAATGCATTCCATTGTCTTTGAGAGGCCTGATAAACACAAACACAAAATGTGGAAAGCAAGTGTAAACAATAGAATTGAAAAGCTCAGAGGACAAAAAGAGTGGTTTCAGAATTCCTGAATTTAAGATGGCAGATTTTTCTAGAGGAGAATGGCACTGAGGTGGAGCATGAGAACAACATGTCTAGAGATGAACAAAATGGGGGAAAGAAAGAAACCTCAGATACTGTTTTACCCAAAAAAGGAGGCAAACTGCTAAAAGGAGAGGGCTTTTCCCCCTTCAAGGTGGCCTCAGCGAACATGTTATGGGACAAACTCTGACTAGGAATTGAACTCTGGCTATTTATCATTTAAATATTTATCAAATAACATAATCAAACAGCATATCTTACACATTCTTGTATTCTAAACACACAATACTTTCTAATTTAATTTGCCGGCTTTAGACCAAGTTCAAAACCAGTTTCAGTTTAAAAACAAAATTCCATGGCCCAATTGAGATGAACTCAACAAATAACAGATACAATTCCAGTAATCAATTACCTAACTTTTTCATTGTACAATGAAAACACTGTTGGTCAGCTATGCCTGGTCAGTGGTGAGCATTGCAGATCTGCCCTTGGAATAATCATTCCAGGCAGCTGCTTGGACAGGACCTGAAGAGACTACCACAGGCCAGGGGTCGGTCCCAGAACCATGGGCAAAAAGCTGGCTCAGAGCTGACAAGTCCCTTAAAACATAGAAATTGTATCCCCTTGTAGAACATAAAGGGGTGACCCATCTGGAGGGAGGTGAGTTAGGGGAAGAAGAATAGGAATGCCAAGTGAGCCAGACAAAGGGGACTTCCCTGTCCAAGGTCAGAAACTGGGAAGCAGGGAGAAACACAGGGAAGGGATCAAGCAGTCCTGGACAGACAAGGTTTGGGGCAACAAGACGATCCCATCCACAGTGTCAGTGGGATAACTCCAAGAAGATTTGAAAACCTGACCCACAAAAAGGGGCTGGAAGATGGATAGGAAATAGGAAAGTGCCAATTAATGGCAGAGTAAAAAGCCAGAACAGTGTCAGGTTGAGACTGGAGGGATAGAGACAGAGAGGTCCCATCCACCCTCAGAACAGAAGTGGGACTTTAGAGGGGCACTCTTTAATTACTCACAAGGTGCACCACTGACAGAAACCAGACCTGTGAAGTCAGGGGAAAAGGGAATGGGATAATCAGGACCTTGTGCATAAACAGAACAGAAGACCAGACAGACAGATGTGGAAAAGTCTCACCCACCATCCCAGCAAAGGCCAAAGGAGATAGAGGAGCCACAGCTCATCTGGCAGGCAGAATTCCAGTCCTTATCAGGAATCAAGATGAGTCCATCCCATCTGAGTCACTGAAGAGTGTCCCTGTGAAGGGGTTCTCGCCCCTCCTCAAGGTAGAATTAAACAGAGGAGGCAAAACGGATTCAAAAGAGGAAATGAGGGAAAGGAGAAAGGGAGGAAGCTTGATGCACCAAGGGAGCACACACTAATGACAGCGTGGCTCCTCGAACTGCTGCCAGGGTCTGGTTTATATAGGGCTGGGTTCTCACACAGGCACAGAGTAGATTTCTTTGCTTTCCAGGTTCTCACTGTAGGCTGGTATCCACTGGCACAGGTGCAGAGCAGAGCTCTTTGGCGAGTACCTGAAGAGAAACTTGAAATTTGTCCAGGAGAGGCTTGAAAAATAACTGAAGAGCATCCCCATCCATTTAAGAGAGGTTCAGCCTATCTCAGCTTTACCTCTGCCTGGCTTCATCACTGAGCTTGCTTTAAAGGTTTTGCCTTCTAGTGACTCAAATGCAAATCAGTCCTACTCCCAGGAATGTACTGTGACTTTTTCATTGTCATCTGTGGACAGTGCCAACTTGCCCCACCTACTAACAGCTTCTGTTTTCTGGTGGAAATTCAGTTTCCCCCAAAATCTCTATAAGGGACATTCAATAAAGTGTGACAGATGGTGTGAAGCGTAGTGCCCAAACAAATCTCACCTTGTCTCTCTGTAAACTGATGAAGGGATGAGAAGAGTATTAGACTTACGTTCTTTTTTGAACCACTTTAGCACTGCTTCTGAAGTTCCAGCAGGGTTTCTCAGCCTTGGTGGTATTGACATTTTGGGCTGGGTAATTGTTGGTGGTGATGGGTGCATGTACTTGTGCTTTCTGTGCATTATGGGATGTTGAGCAGTATCCCTGCCCTCTACCCACACTAGATGCCAGTAGCACAGCCCACCACCTAGTTGTGACAACCACACATATCTTCAGACATTGCCAAATGTCCCCTGGAGGGCAAAATGGCCCCAGCTGAGAACCACTTGGTTGGGGATTGATCATCATGAGGTACAAATGCAAATCATGTTTATCACAGTAAAATTTTCACTTATCTAAACCTTTATTTATAGTGATGAACTGCTGTAAAGAAATGAAACATTTATGTGCCTCTATTCTCCATCCTGACCCTGTGTAGCATAAAGAGACCTTCACCTAGCTCATGTTCAGAGATCATCTTTTAGATCTTTTGCAAAATTGATTTCACTAGAAATTCCAATGTTTTTCTGTTCTTTTTTTTTTTTTTTATCAGAATGAAAACAGAGGTTCTTCCTAGTGAGCCTTCAACTCACAGTCTGTGACCCCAGTGTAGATTTGATTGCCAATACGGCTTTTCATAGAGACAAGGGTATTTCCATTTCTTGTCTAAAAGTATATGGGAACATTTGTTAACTTTAAACTTTAAGTGATACTTTCTTTAGTGTATTAATCAGGATCGTATGACATGTCAGTTTCATAAGTAATTTATCTCATTTAATTCTCATACCTACCTTGCAGAGTTGTTATTACCATACCTACAGATGAAGAAACTGAGACTGAGAGGATAAGTAGTTGGTCCAAGGACACCCATTTCATATGTGGGAGAACCAGGGTTGTGCCTGACAAAAACCTGTGCTTTGACCACATTCCTGTGCTGTCTCCCAGCCTTTGCGTGGCCAGTGGATTCTCTCTTGGCTGGGCTCAGTTCAGGTAACATTTGTTGGGTACCTACCACAGGTTGGCTCTAGAGATCACCATATAATTCAGTCATTGCCTCAACTCCTTCTTTGTCACATCAGCACACTGGCATTGTGCTGTGCAGAAAGAACTTCTGTGCATGTGCCGACCATTAGACTTATTGAACCCATCTTCTAGAGACTTTCAGATGGATGTATACTGAAATGCAAAGTCTTACATTTGTATTTAAATTAATGGCCACATATGGCACTTACACAGACACTGAGTTACTATCAGCAACTGTTGCATGGGGAAGCTGTGTCCTGGGAATTTCATACTGGTGAAGAAAATGCGTGGCTGTGGAAATTTCATAGACCAGGCAGTGTCACACATGATCTAATATTTCTTCTCTTCAATCTTAGAAGGCTTTGTTGAAGAGCTGGAAAGAGAGTTTAAAGGCATTTTGTTAAGTAATCACGTGCTACTTTTATTTTTCTGCCTTTTTTGGTTATTGTTAATCCTCACCCGAGGATATTTTTTCCATTGATTTTTTAGAGAGAGTGGAACGAAGTTGGGGGAGAGAGAGAGAGAAACATTGATGGGGGAGAGAGACATTGATTGGTTGCCACATTGATTGGTTGCCTCCTGCATGTGCCCTGACTGGAGCTGGGGATCGAATCCATAACCCAGGTATGTGCTGTTGACCAGGAATCGAACCTACGACCCTTGGGTGCATGGGCTGATGCTGTAACCACTGAGCCACACTTACCAGGGCTGTCAAAGGATTTTAACCTGTGTTTCTCCTATTTGTATTTGCTTAATTTTTTTTTTTAAGAAGAAGTTTGTGTTGCCTTGGCCGGTGTGCTAAGTGGTTAGAGCGTTGGCTGGCACACCAGAGGGTTTCTGATTGTTTCCTGGTTAAGGGCACATACCTGGGTTGCAGGTCCGGTCCCCAGCCCCAGTTGGGACATATGTGGGAGGCAACCAGTCAATGTAAACACAGATATTTCTCTCTCCTCCCGCTCCCTTCCACTTTCTCTAAAAATCAATAGAATAAAATATCCTTGAGTGAGGATTAACAAACAAAATAAAGAAGTTTGTGTTGACATACTTCTTATTCATCACATTACTCTTTCTAAGACAGAATATATATTTTTAATAAACAGAAAGATAGGCTCTGGCCCATGTGGCTCAGTTGGTTGGAATGTCATCTGGTACACTGAAGGGTCATGGGTTTGATTCCTAGTCAGGGCACATGCCCAGGTTTCCGGTTCCAATGCCCATCAAGGCGTGTCGGGAGGCAACCAATGGATGTGTCTCACAACAATGTTTCTCTCCTTCTTCCTCTCTCTCTAAAAGTCAAAAAACAAAAACAAAACACAACATATCCTTGGATGAGGATTAAAAGAAAATTTTTTTTTTTAAAAATCAGAAAGCTAGGACCAAAGAGATTTTAAACACTCAACATGTGGAGGACACACTTTCAGATTCTTGAAACCAGATCTTCTGTTTCTCTGTAGTTACTATGGAAATGGGTGCTATAGAGATGTGCAGTCCCAATTGTGACCTCTCCTTGTATAGGGATGCCCTGAGCCTCTGGTTTTATTGTCCACCAAGGTCTGGCAGGTCTGGCTACTTCCATTCACCCATCAGTGGTGGTGGGACTAACCATCCCCCACTTTGGGACCAACCATCTCCAGCTTTGCTTCCCTGATAGTGAACAAAAGCACGGCTCCCCAGGGAGTAATCTCTGGTTGTCCTATAATCTGAGTGAGCCAAGGTGAGTGTTGTGGGGACAGGCAGCAGCAACTTCTGAATCTTCAAATGGGAGGCTAAGAATTTACTTCTCAGAAATCATACAGTTGAGCTCACTTTTCATACTAAAAATACAAATGACACTCAGTGGTTTAGAAAACCTGTCCACTGAATGAGTAAATGCAGTGTGGTATATGTAGCCTTGCTTTCCATGTTGCTAGTAGTTGGTGGTGACATCATACTCATCCCTCATACATGTTAGCTGGGGACACAGGAGGCACCACCTTGCATTCATGAGGATTCAGGTTTGGTCCCAACTTGACTGTTAACTCTCTGAATGACCTTGGTCATATTACTTAATTCTCTTGATCTTAGTTTCTTCATAGTCCATGGGTTCCTGCTCAAAAGTGACTTAGCCTGGTGTGCCCCGGTCTGTTAGACTTTAGTCTGGTTCTCTTCCTCTGCATCACCCTCTCCTGGGTGAACCTGAGGCCCTTCCGCCTCTTTAGGGATATTGCTAAGATTCCATCAAGCCTGTTTAAGCCTATTTGTAGAGAGCAAAGCACCTGGGAGCTGATAGCACTTCTGTGTTTTCCAAAATGGAAATTTAGCAGAAGTGTCTAATCACTCACTCTCCCTCTACCCCCAAATGCTATTCGTACTCGTCTTTTGTGAAAGAAAGTGAAACCACAGATGACAATTGTTGCACCTGAGTGAAAGGAAATATGACTGACTCTACTTAGTTCATAGAATGCATGCTTTTAAGATTGTTCCAAAGTTGGAATAATCTTTGCTTGTCGGTACCTCAGAGTGACCCATAGTCTCATAAGCATTTCCTCTATTACAGCCAGCCTTGTGGGATGTGTGGTGCCTAGGCTTTGCTCTTGTAAATACTGGCCTGACCATTTTAGAATTCAGTCAAGGCTTTAGCCCCTACACCCCAGTTACTTCTCATGGGACTAAAGTGTCTTCATTTTCTCAGCCTGGAGACCTAGTCCTCTCATATAAGGTGGGGTGGCACTCAGGGAACAGGGAGGGTCTTATATTTATTTAATTTGTAGCAGGAAGTACTCTTTACTAGGACTTGTCTTTGGTACCAGCAACAATAGACTCCTGGCCCCTTTTGTGAGCTCTTTTCCATGTTTCAGATTTTGTCCTGGTGTCTGCTTTGAATGCTCAATTATATTTGAGCATGCTAGAGATGAGCACACCACCTCCCCATTAAGAAAAGCCTGTCAGAGAAGTCTTGAACTTCCTGAGCAGTGTCAGTTTTTGAGGTTACTAAGAAGCTGGTGCTTTTAGACTAGTTAGCAGTTGTTTTGCTTGCGGGTCACTTGTTGCCCAAATGTGCAAGTGTGTGTTTAGTAAATCTCATGCAAGAGCTGTGTGTCCCTAAAGTCCCCATGTTTCCAGGACTCCTTGTCTGAACTTGCTCTTTATCAAGAGATTAATAGTCATCCGTTCAGTGAACTGTGGGATTGAATTCACCCAGTGATTAAAATGAAAGGGGTGAAGCTTGTGTGTAAGATTTCCTGAGGAGTGGCAGCACCAGAATTTAGTGACCTCAGGCCACTTATTCTATAAAGTCAGAGGCTGTTGACCTTAGATGCTGTGGTTTCCTCAGTGTTTTGCAAGGTCTCTCTTATCAAGTACCTTGTTGGGTTAGAGCTGATTTCACTCTATCCACTGCTCCCAACATCCAGCTCAGCCAGCATCAAGCAGCATCTGCAATGGGGATTTTCTAGCTGCAGTGGTCACATGTCTTGCCTTGGAAAGAACACCTATTCCCATGTCCTGACACTGCCAGAGGATGAGTGCTGGGCAGAAGTCCTAAGGTGTGACCTGTGCAGAATTATCTGTGGAGTCACTGGATTTCACATTCTTCATCAATGTTTCATAATCACCCAGCCAACACCTTCCTCAATAAGAGATTATCAGCAATTGAAGCAGCATTACATTTTATGAGACACTTACTACACATGTTGGTTCATTTAATCTCCACAGCACACTTGAGAATGTGGAGCAAAGAGAGCTTTGTTACCCTGTTTTATGGATGAGGAAACACAGCCTTTCAGAGGTTATGATTTACCTCCAGCCATGGAGCTACTAAACATTGGGAATCCAAATCTCAAACAAAATCTTTCTAGCTATAGATCATTCCCTTTGTGCAGGACCCAGCTACCCTTCCATTCCCAAAGGTGAGCTGGGTCTGTAGAAATAATCAACAGTAAGCTAAAGCCCAGGAGTGGCCCTAGTAAACTGATAGGTCCTCTTCTACCCCCACATTCTAGCCTCCATGAGGTCTGCCTGTTTACCTAAGGCAGAAAACAGGTTGTACCTCCTAAGCACATCTGTTTGCTGAAAGGATGCAAAACTGATCCTTGGTGTGGGGTATACCCTTAAAAGTGCTGGATTTTATGTATTTTTTAATCCTCACCCAAGGATATTCTTTTTTTTTTTTTTTTTTATCCTCATCCGAGGACATTTTTCCATTTTTTGTTCAGATAGAGCGGGAGGGAGAGAGAGGAAGAGAGAGAGAGAGAAACATCGATGTGAAGGGACACATCGAGTGGCTACCACCCGCACGACCAACCAGGGCCGGGGACAAACTGCAACCGAGGTACGTGCCCTTAGCGGAAACCGAACCCGGGTCTCTCTGTACCATAGGCCGATGCTCCAACCGCTGAGCCAAACTGGCCAGGGCCCAAGGATATTCTTTCCATTCATCTTCAGATAGAGTGGAGTGGGAGGAGAGAGAAACATCCATGTGAGAGAGACACGTTGACTGGTTGCCTCCCACATGAACCCACCCAGGGCCGGGGATGAACTAGCAACCGAGGTACGTGCCCTTGGCCATAATTGAACCTGTGACTCTGTGGTCCGTGGGCTGACATTCTAACCATTAAGCCAAACTGGCTAGAGTAAAAAGTGCTGGATTTTAAACAGTGCTAAGGAGAACAAGCTCATCTCCACATTGCACCAAAGAACAGGGCTTCTTCCTGTTAACACCGATGTGAGAGAGACACATCAATTGATTGCCTCCTGAACACCCCCCCAACCAGGGCTGGGGATCGAATTTGGAACCCTGATAGTGTCCTTGACTGGGAATTGAACCCTTGACACTTAGGTCTGTGGGCCTACACTCTTTAACTGCTAAGTCAAACCAGCCAGGGCTGTTGTGCCTTTTAGGATCACCAAATGGGGAATGAGGGATAATGTAGTCCTTAGATTGTTTCCCCTAGCAACATTGTTTTAAGTTAACTGACCTTCAGAGATTT